TACTTATGCCAACCTGTTTGTGTCAGTTTTCTATTATTGATAAAAGATTGCCATTCTGACTGAAGTGAGGTGAAATCTTAGAGTAGTTTTGATTTGCATTTCTATAATTACTAGAGATGTTGAACATATTTTCATATATTTATTGATTGATTGTATATCATCTTCTGAGAAGTGTCTGTTTAGTTCCTTGGCCCATTTATTAATTGGGTTATTTATTTTTTCGGTGTTTAGCTTTTTGAATTCTTTATAAAGCCTAGAGATTAGTGCTCTATCTGATGTGCAGGTGGTAAAAATTTGCTCCCAAGCTGTAGGCTTTCTATTCATCTCACTAATTGTTCCTTTCACTGAGAAGCTTTTTAGTTTGAATCCATCCCATTTATTAATTCTTGATTTTAATTCTTGCACTATAGGAGTCTTATTAAGGAAGTTGGGGCCTAATGTGACATGATGGAGATTTGGGCCTATTTTTTTTTCTATTAGGCACAGGGTCTCTGGCTTAATTCCTAGGTCTTTGATCCACTTTGAACTTAGTTTTGTGCATGTAGAGAGAGAGGGGTTTAATTTCATTTTGTTGCATATGGATTTTCAGTTTTCCCAGCACCATTTGTTGAAGAGACTATCTTTTCTCCAATGTATGTTTTTGGCACCTTTGTCTAATATAAGATAACTGTAATTATGTGGGTTATTTTCTGTGACCTCCGTTCTGTACCATTGGTCTTCCAGTCTGTTTTGGTGCCAATACCAGGGTGTTTTTGTTACTATTGCTCTGTAGTATAGTTTAAGGTCTGATATAGTTTAAGGTCTGCTTCACTCTTCCTGCTATGTGTTGCTTTAGCTATTCTGGGTCTCTTATTTTTCCAGATGAATTTCATGATTGCTTTTTCTATTTCTATGAGGAATGCCATTGGTATTTTGATTGGAATTACATGAAATCTGTATAGTGCTTTTGGTAGTATGGTCATTTTGACAATATTAATTCTGCCTATCCAAGAACAGGATAGATCTTTCCATCTTCTAAGGTCTTCTTTAATTTCTTTCTTTAGTGTTCTGTAGTTTTCATTATAGAGGTCTTTCATCTCTTTTGTTAAGTTGATTCCCAAGTATTTTATTTTATTTTTTTGAGGCTATTGTAAATGTGATAGTTTTCCTTGTTTCCTTTTCAGAGGATTTGTCACTGATATGCAGAAATGTCTTTGACTTATGGGTGTTGATTTTATGTCCTGCTGCTTTGCTGAATTCATTTACTAGTTCTAGAAGTTTTCTGGTGGAATTTTTTGGGTCTTCTTGGTAAAAATCGTTTCATTGGCAAATAGTGCCAATTTGAGTTTTTCTTTTCCTATGTGTATCCCTTTAATTTCATTTTGTCTGTCTAATTGCTCTGGCCAGTGTTTCAAGAACTATGTTAAATAGAAATGGTTAAAGAGGGCATCCCTGCCTTGTTACAATTTTTAGAAGGAATGCCTTCAATTTTTCTCCATTTAGAATGATGTTGGCCTGGGGCTTAGCATAGATAGCATAGATAGCTTTGACACTGTTGAGATATGTTCCTGTTATCCCTAGTTTTTCTAGTGTTTTGAACATGAAGGGGTGCTGTATTTTGTCAAATGTTCACTCCAGTCAGAATGGCACCTATTAAGAATACAGACAACAATAAGTGTTGGTGAGGATATGGGGGGAATGTCCACTCACACATTGCTTGGTTGGACTGCAAAATTGTGCAGCCAATGTGGAAAGCAGTATGGAGATTCTTTGGAAAACTGGGAATGGAACCACCATTTGACCCAGCTATCCCACTCCTTGGTCTACACCCAAAAGATTTAAAAAGAGCATACTACAGGGACATAGCCATGTTAATGTTTAATGCAGCACAATTTACAATAGCTTAACTGTGGAACCAACCTAGATGCCGTTCAGTAGATGAATGGATAAAGAAAATGTGGTATATATACACAATGGAATATTATTCAGCATTAAAAGAGAATAAAATCATGGCATTTGCAGGTAAATGGTGTTGGAAAAGATAATGCTAAGTGAAATTAGTCAATTCCCAAAAACCAAATGCGGAATATTTTTTTTTTTTTTTTTTAATAAGGCGGTTGATTCATAGTGAGGTTGGGAGCATGAGAGGATTAGAAGAACTCTAGATAGGAAAAAGGGGTGAGAGGGGAAGGGAGGGGGCATGGGGGTAGGAAAGATGGTGGAATGAGATGGACATCATTACCCTAAGTACACGTATGAAGACATGAATTGTGTGAGCTCTCAGGCGTCTAGCGAGGAGGATCATGGAACAGGGTGGAGGAGAGTGTGGCTGCAGAGTCACTAATTAAGACCTCTGGAGACCAAGTAGGAAGCAGGTCTGATTTTATTGCGCAGTTACCATGTATATATACTCAGGTGTGGCTAAGCAGATTACAGGCAGCCACCAATACAATTTCTGGCTAGCTGTCCTTGCAGTGACCAATGGAAGATCGGGCCATGGGGGAAGCACAGGGACTGCAACACGCAGCTCATGCCCATGGCTGTGTCTACGGGTGACCTGCCACTCACACACCTAGCACGAGGGGAGTGGCCTGCCACTCAGATGTCCTTAATGTATGCCATGTATGCAGTACTCCATGTACTTGTCCCCACAATGAATGGTGTGACTATACTTTGTATGCAATCAGAGATATGAAAAATTGTGCTCTATATGTATAATATGAATTGTAATGCATTCTGATGTCATATATAACAAATTAGAATAATTTTTTTAAAATTATGTGCTTAAAACAGCAAGCACTTATCCAACATAGAGATTTGATACAATGTGACTGAATTCACTTTACTAGGGTTTAGTAAAATATTCACTTTACTAGGGTCTACTTGGGCTATGGTTTCTAGCTTCTAGCTGCCTGTAGTTATCTTTTAATCTCTTTGGTTGTTGGTAGAACTTAGTTTCTTACTGTTTAAGAACTGTGGTCACTGCTTTCTTGACATATATTTCCTTTTATCCTTAAGTCAACAACATGTCCAGTCTTTTTGTGCGACAAATCTCTCTGACTTCCCAATTAGTGAATCTCTCTATCTTCTAATGGCTCATGTGATTGCACTGGATTCTCTTGGATAATACACAACATTTTCCCTGTTTAAGATCCAAATGCAAAATTTCTTTTGCCCTGTAGTGTAATATATTCATTGCAAAGAATGAGGGTATAGGGCCTACTGCCTATCACAACCATATAAAGCAACCATATAAAGGAATCACCAGTGGAATGAGATAAATTCTACTTTTTTATTTTGGCTCAGTCTGGAAACAGTACTAAATATTGCTTGAACTTCAGAGTTCTTTGAAGTTCTTAGGAAATATTACCTACACCTTCTGCCAAACTCAATATTTTCAGTTTAGTGCCAAATGAAAGCTTGGATTCTAGGACTGCCCCTAGAAAGTATCATGCTCTGAATCTCCCTTCTTACCTTCTTTTTTCACTCTTTCTGTACAATTACTGGAAGCTTCTGCTTCTACTTTCATATAATATTTTAGTATTGACTGCAAAGGAAATAAGATATCTTAAAAAAACATGAGATTTTGGATTTTGGGAGCTCTGATTTTTGTATCTAAACATCTTTGTATCCCAACACTTTGTATCTATGCTTTAATCCTGACTCAAAGTTCCAGAAGAAGGCCTAATATAATACTCCTATTTGACTTTGTACCATAACATATATATTCTCTTTTCTGAGAAAACTTGCTTATACATGTATCACTTCAACATTTTTAGTCTGTTGTCCATTATTGAATCTGATACCCAAAGCTGGTAACCCTTAGCAGTTGGCAGATTCTGGTCTAACTTAGGACATATAACCCCCACGTAGGTCAGGATCTGATTTGTTATGCTGCTTTCTAATATAACCCACCCAATTTTGTATTTTACTTACTTCCTTTTAAAAAGTCTCCTTTAGTCAAGTCTGTCTTTTTATTTTCTCATAAAAATACACTCATTGTTTTTTCCTTCAGGCATTTCTATAACCAAACACACTATGAATTCTCCTCATATATAATCCAACACTTTTTTCTTTCTCCTATGTGAAGCTTACTTAGACCAACATTGCTAGGTTTTTTATATTCTGAACTCACTCAGCCATCGATTGCTGTTAATTTTTGTCTCAGGTTTCTATTTGGAATCATAGAAAAGGGAGAAATGATTATTGAATGAATGAGGAAGCAATGAAAGAAACTGATAAGAAAAAAGGTTTATTTATCAAATCTTTGAAGATGCAAGAAGAGTTTCTTTTCTGTGAAGTCCTGTGAACAGAGACTACATAGCAAAGTACTTTTTGTTCACGTAGTTCTCAGACATTTCCATGATCTGTGATAGTGGAAAGAAAAGGAAATTAAGATAAACTTGGATTTCCATGAAGAGAAAACATTCCTTTCCTTAAATTTGAGCATCATAGTGCCTAAGGAAACCCAATTAGTAGGAAATGAAATCTATTATATGTAATTATCCTATAAGCAGCCTTCAAAGCCATCTGAGATTTGACATAGTCCTTGGTTCTTCTCAAATGCATGTTTTTCTGCAACAATACACAGTGTGAGCAATATAATACCTATGAAGAATATTTAGCCAGAATTTTATGAAGGAAGAGATTTGGGAGACAAACCAGAGAAATTCTGACTCATTTTGAAGGAGTATGAATCATTTACCTTTGCTGCAAGGAGCACTGTACTCAGCAATTGCAAACTCATCTGAAAAAACAAATATTATATGAAGTCAGTGAAAGAATCTTTGCTGTTGGAAGAACTTCATTGTATCAGAAATGTCAATGTCATTCACTTGATGCACTACTTACTACCTTATATTTTGTATGTATCAAAGACAAAAAGGGGAGAATCAAACTTGGAGACAAAATGAAGTGATAAAGAGAATTTAATGTAATAAATCACCCCTATACATTTTTTAAACATATGTTTCTGATGAGGAATTTTAATTTCTATGTGAAAGTTGCCCACACTTACCTGTCTCATAGTAATCATAGACTTTCACTATGGCTGGTTTCAGATCTCTTACTGGAATATCTTGCAGAACTGTGAAGGACAAGCTCAGTGTCTGATTCGACACCTATAAAGCAAAAGAGAGTTAAATGGACTTTTCAGGAAGCTTTCTTTTCTCCTTGGATGAATAAGCATTCATCTACTTTTTTTGGGGGAAAAAACCCTTTATCAACAACTGCATACTACAAGATCCTTAAATTGTACAAAAGTCCTTAGACTACAAGGGAAATTTGCCAAAACATTTCTTAAATAATGAACACAATTTATATAACTTCCATCAGTGCCATCATGTGGCTCTGTGCATGGGGGAAATTCTATATGCTTTTTGTTGGTTAACTGGCTATGTCCTTTTTTTTTTTTTTAACTATTCAAAGATTTGGTATAGTTTTGCTTTTCCATTTTGTGGAAGTACTTGTGTAGACTTGAAGAGGTATGTAAATGACATACCACTGCTGGCTTGTTTAAGTTTGTTTTTGCTTTTGTTTTTAATAATGATTTTGCAAAGTGTGATTCCTATCAATATAGGCATGCATAAACTATGTTGCCATACCTATCTATAAAATAACATTGATTTATTGGTGAACTTATCATCATTGGTGAACTGATTATCATTATCTTTATTATTATTGGTTTTTATTATTTTATGATCCAAGTCTAGCTGAGATTGACAGTGTTTTCCCCTTTTATATTGTTGATGGGGATGCTGATATAATAATTGACTAATTGCAATTGGTTACTTCCTTACATTATCCAGTATCTTCAAAATAACTTGTGGACATAATGAAAACATTTTGTAGAAAATCCCTTGCTTATAGGGTTCAAGAAATATTTATATCCAAATATTAGAATAAGCTACTTCTCATAATCCCAGGTTTAAATAAAAGAGAAGAAAAACATTCATTGGAGTTCTCAGATTTCTAGATTAGATGTCTACAAAATGCATGAACTTACTTCCAAGACAACATCGTTAGAAGGATTTTTATCTATATTTTTTTCAGCTACACTGGCAGGGCTCTCACCTCATCCAGGTAAATCAAGACATGATTGTTGCTGACTTCAGTCCGGTTCACATGGTTCAGTCTTTCAAGCTGAAGAAAATTAAAATAACACAATGTTAATAAAATAAATGAAGCCCCTAGAGGATCCAGAGGTGGGAAAATTCCTATTCCCAATTCCTTCAAATGCTTTTTGTAAGTAAAAACATGTAGGAAAAATAAAAATTAAAGGTAATTTGGATGAAGAGTTTAATAGTATTATGGCACATGACCCATGGTAAAATTGATTTATCTGAAAGGAACTAAATAGCCTAAACTTGGGAATTACTCCTATTTCATATTGTTTATTTGTGATGGAATTTTTTGTTTTATTTGACTTAGAGCAATCTCTTCTCTTAACTTCTGTAATACTTATGACAGTTCATGTCAGTCATTTTCATGTTTTTTCATGGGTTCATATTCATGTGCATTAAGATTCTAAGCTCTGTGCAAGTGGGACCTATGATATTTTTTACCTTAGCCATCATGACTTCTGACAGAATACTCTGCACTTGGTGGGAACTCATACAAACATGCCAAATTGTAATTGTGAGTCTGGAGATAATATAAATCATTGATAGAGGTTGATTTAAAATTGTTTTAATAACAGTATTTTCTTAGTGTAGGGATACATAAAACATTACATGGGCTTATCATAAACCTACCATTTTCACTGTTGGCTTCAGGGGGATGAAGCCAGAAACCATCTTTACATCAGCAATGACCATGTTGGAGGCAGGACGACTCCCAGTGTATCTAAGAACCCAGCAAAGGAAGGGATTAGGGTTTTCTATGTTATTAAATATTCCCGTTTTTCTATGTCATATTAAGTACTCTACAAAGTACACATTAAATCCTCCCAAATATGCCATCCCAGTGGTTAGAAAAGTGGTAGTGCATAAGAATTTTTAATAGGACCTGTTATAGCTATAGAGACCAGCCCTACCCCAGAACTGATTGAATCAGAATTTCAAATGTGTGGATTCTGAGGATCTGTGTTTTAAGAAAGCACCACAAGTGATTCTTTGACTGGGGGCCTCTAATCTATGCCAGATGTTTATTACATACACTTATCTTAATCTTTTCCCAACCAAATTATAATATTCTTTCAGACAGATACTTTTTTTGTGAGGCTGGTAGCTATTTAAATGTATATAAATATATTTCCTTCCCAAATTGATTGTATTGTATGTAACTTGAGATTTATTTATTGCCCGCTGGAATTACAACCAAAGATTCACTCTTTTCTCCTATTCAAGCTTTGCAAGAATTCTCTCTTTGCCATAACTATATCAAGTACAACAGGATTTCAGGATTTCATTAGATTGAAGGAATTCAGGTCATAGGTAATGTGATATTCTTTTTTTTTTTATTGAGGAGAAACATTAACTTTTAAGTAACATTAGACAATAATAGGTCCTAAAGGCAGGGGATGGACAATTTAAACTTCATCACCAAGAAATTCTATTGCATCAATATAAAAGAATACATTACCTTTTAAATAAATGCAGTGTGAGCACTTACTGTCACAATGTTTAGCTTGATGAGGAGTCCAGGTAAGAAGACTAGTTGTTACTCCTAGAATTAGGTGATATAGTCAAAAAATCTTACCTGATATTCATTGAGATCTGGAAGGTGGTGCGGCTTTTGGGTCCATCACAAGTTTGGGGAAGAGTCAGTACCTCTAAAGCAAATGGGAAGTCTTCCTTGTCTGGGAGAATATTGTATTTCAAGGATGTCTGTGGAATATTAAAGACAGAATCTCTTTTTTCTCTTATCAGAATTCCCGTCATCTTCCTCAGTTCTGATTTGCCTCCATGGTTTGCGGAGCTAGGATTTTTGGGTGATAACAGATACTGTGTAAACCCTTGTCCTCTTTTCCCCTGAGAGTCTCACCTGGAGGTAGACACATCCTTCTCCCGTCACTCTTGCACTGTATTCCCCAGGCACTGTTGGTAAGGAGACCTGCTGTAGTAACAGGCGGTTGCTGTTGTCCACTTGGAATTTTGAGGAAAATTTCCCTGAAGACTGGATGGTGACCTGTGCAGCTTTCCCAGTCCTAGTAAAAGTAGCTGCTCCATATTTGGACAAAGCATGGAGAGCCACCACTGTGTCCTGAAAGAGGAGTGGGAGAACCCACTTAGATATTGCAATGGTTTGGAAATGGTTTGTCCTTTTGGGTTCACGTGTTGAATGTCTGGTCCTCAGAGTGGTGAAATTGAGAGGTGGTGGAATCTTTTAAAAGATGAGGCCTACTGGGAGGTCCTTAAGTCATTGAGGGCACTGCCCTTGGAAGGGATGAAGGTAGTTCTTATAGGACCCCTTGGTAGTTCTTGTAAGGTGGGTATTATTAAAAAAAAAAAAGAAGCCTAGCCCTATCCAGATATATGGCTTCCTTGTTTTGAGATGTTATCTCATCTTCATGTTTAGATACATGGTTATATAGTTAGACTTAGGAAGTTGGATGGGTAAAAACAATTCCTTATACTTCTAAGAATGAATGTGTACTAAGAGGCAGATGGGGGCCATGAAATGTGTCAGAGGACCTGAGAATGGAGATTCTCAAGGCAAGATTATTGTATTTAGAGTTCCTGTGAACAGTTGTAAAGGGATTCCTAAAACTGGAGAAGAGTTGGTAGGAGACTTCCCCCTTGTTCTGCTGATGCCACACCACTACTTTAGGGAGGCAGAGTTTTGAAAACAGGAGACTGTGATAGCACAGGGACAGGGTGCCAGAATTCTATGCATTTTCTTTTTAGTCATCTTTGATTTACATAATTATCCCTGTATACTGACAATCTTTCAAGGTATTTTCATTTTCAGTTTTTTTTCTCCTGTGTTTGTCTTTTTCTACTTGAAGGTTAATTGAAGATTCTGGCAAATAACCAACCTGGGTGGAGGAGAAACCACCATGGGAATTCTGTTGCTTTGTGATCCACTTTACAATGGGCACTGCAGAAGTCAGGTCCTCTGAGGTCGGGGCTGGCTGGACTGTGAGGAGAGTGAGGAGCATATAGGCCGTCATCTCCACCTCAGCAGAGGGAGCCTGGGGTTGGTACAGAAGTCCCTGTGGTGCCTTGGGTTTCTGAGGCCGTGTCCAGTGGATAGTATCATCTGGGTGGGAGAAATAGATACTCATAAGTGACTAAATATTCATATTTATTTTAAGATGAAAGTATCCAAATTGGAGCTGAAGAGAGGGTTTCTTTCTGATTGTAATATTTCAAACCTCATAGAGACACGTTCCCCTCAATGAAAATATGAACTTGGTGTATTTCAACCAAGTTAAGGCAGCTAATGTTGCCAGAGTCAGAACCTTTTGCCATCTGTACTTTGAAATAGTTAACTACAGTTGGGATGGCAGAGCAAGTTCTCTCACTGGTCATGGCTATTTCCTATTTCTGATGTTGTTTAAACCGTATCTAGAATATGTCAAGATTTTTGTCAGGCCTGTCCTTAGAGGTTTCTTGTGAGTATCACAGATCACAGGAAATAATACAGTTCACACTTATTAGATTTAAAAAGAAAAAAAAAATTAATCCTTAAAATACTAAAAATTGAACTACTACATGAAATCCACATGGGTGTGAAACATTGGGAGCAGTGGGAGCTGATGTTCACTACTATGGGATGTCGACTGCTCCTTTGGAGCAATTTGGCAATATTCAGAAATGGAAAAAGTGTGTTTAGCATATGATCAAAGTATAATTTTTGAAAACACATGTACAATGAGATAAACACCTGAATATTTACTGTAGTGTTGTTTGTAATAACAAAAGGTAACAAAGGATTCATGAGGAGAAACTCAACATAAAAATTATAACCTAATTATATATTATAATATATTGTACAGCAGTGAAAAGTAATGAACTAAAGTTACAGGGACATGAGTGGAGATTCACATTAGTATAATGTTGAACTTTAAAAATAAAAGATGAACAAACATAAAATAAGCTACTTAAATGTAATACTGCATATCTAAAGGTGTGAAACGTGAAAATTATAATATTACTTAGGAATATGTAGCAGAAATATAAAGAAATCCATGAAAATTATAATGAAAAATTCAGAATAATGACAACCTCTGATAGTAGAAGTGGTAACATAGGGATTTTTTTTTCTGCATCGGTAATACTTTATTTCTTACACTGGGAGGGAGTTATATGGGTTTTCTAAATATTCTTTATGCTTTTCTTGGTATATCTGAAACATTTACCAAATATTAAAGTACACTGCTAAAAGACAAAGGTAGAATACATTTTACTGGCCATTTTAATATCTGCATTTTATTTTCTATTTCTTTAATACCTCATATAGACCACAGTATATGTAGAAGAATTTTGTGAATATGAATAGATTGGTCAACATTATTGGTATTGTGAAATCAGATTAAAATATCAGAATTTGTTCATGGGGCAAGTCCATGAATCTTTCCTTATGTTTAAGATGATATGATGGCATTGTGCAAGGGTTGGGTATAAGGAACTGATATCTTTGTAATAATAGCCAGTACTTTTATAGAATTCTCTTGGCCATATCTACTAGTGCTTTCCATGTATTCATTTATTTACTACAACAATCTTATGAGATAAATTATATTATTAGCCTCATTCTACTGAGGAAGGAACTGAAATAGACAAGTTGCTGACTTGCCCATGATCACATACATAAGATACTTTGAAGCTAGTCTCCAGAGGCCAAACTTCTCACTACTAAATCTATCATCTCTTATATTTTGATGTCTGATTTTATTAAGGTATCCTGAATCTTATAAAAATATGATGTGGAATATATATAAATATGATGTGGAATACATATATGTATATATATATTTATATTTATATATAGTGTAGATAAAAGAAGAGGGGGATAAGGATCATAAGAGGTAGGAGTAGGGAAGTTTTGTAATGTAGTTCTTGATACAGAGAATGTGGGATGAGAGAAAGATATCAGGTGTTCTCTCACCTTCTTTTACAGCTTCCTCATCAAGTGAGTTCAATATTTCTTTCCTCTTGTCCTGGTTACCTGCCAGGGCAAATGCATAGGCCAACAGTGCCTTGGTGTAGACATGGGTGCCATGGGCTCCTTCCTTTGCCGACCTCCAGGCTGAATCCAGGCAAAACAAGGCATTGCGGACAACAGGATGCTGTGATAGGAGAACAAAAAGTAAAACTAAGCTATGTGAACAGGGGTGCCAGCATTCCCAGATTATCACACAGTTTATGACACAGGAGATAAAGAAGTTTTTTTGAATACATTTGTTCATCTGTTCCTCATTCTAATGGATATTGAAAGAATAGATTTTGCTCTGCCATTCTCATATACATACATATACACATATACATACATATACACATATACATTTTTTGTGGTACTGAGGATTGAACTCAGGGTATTTGACCACTGAACTACAGCCCCAAGACTTAAAAATTGTTTTGTTTTGAGACAGGGTCTTGCTGATTTGCCTAGCCTGTCCTGAAACTTATGATCCTCCTGCCTCCACTCCTAAGTAGCTGGGATTACAGGCATGTGTGACTCTGCCAGGGTCCTGTTCTTACCTATGCAAGCCCAGAAACATAGACCATATCTTTAGGATTCTCCGGAGAAAAATCCTAAAGGGGGATATAGCCCAGAGGCATGACTGGGAAAGTACAAGTCTGTCTTAATAGATTGGCCAAATTCTCTGTTGGTCTGGAAGTCATTGACACTGCTTAGATGAAAGGCTGACAGTTGGGTTTCAGTAGGTTAGTGTTTCAGAGAGCAGATAAGGGGTTTTGTTGCATGCAGAACTACTCTTTACCAGGGAAATGAGGTGGTACCTACAGTGACTGAGAGTGGAATCTCCAGAAGGGCTATGGTGATATAGGCAGAGAGGGTGACTTCATCTTCTACTCCTCCCTGTGAATATGGAAAAGGAAAAGACTTGAATAATTTAACTTTTCAGAATCTCATTGAACAGCTTGTTCTATTGAGCTGTGTCATGGAATTTATTTTTATTCATATCCATCCCCAATGACCTAAAGTATCACAAAAATTCTAAGTTCCATTCCCTCTTTCTTGGTGTTATCCAGGTTTTATTTTCCTTGGATGACTTCTGTCAGGGATTTCTACATTGTCACTTCTTTTCTTCACCCTTATAGATATCCTAATGGACACATCAAAACTAGCCCTGGAATGATTCACCTTTATGGCATTGTTGAGCAGTGACCCAGAGCTCCTGAAGCAGCCATTGTCCTTCTGCTTCTGGGAGAGCCAGGTGAGGGCTTGGGTAATGTGTGTTTCATCAATGAAGATATATTTTCGAGCCTGGGCAAAAGTCTTCAGTACAAAGGCTGTGAGCCTGTGGGGGAGCAAGTGATGATGATGTTATATTGTCAGAAGGATTTTATAACCACATACCAGCAATAGGCTTCCTATGGCACTTCTGTACGTAGAAGAGTAACATAACAGGAATTTTTGTGTACTTAGAATTCTTCTCTCCTTTAGTCTCCTTGTATCTATAGGTCTCATTTTTTCCTATGGGTCTGGTATTTGCCACAGGAAGTCTAAGCATTTCTAACTTACTTATTTTTCTTAGTTATTTCAGGAGGAAAGGTTTTAGATCTCTCTTTTCTTCAGAGATTTTCTTCTATACCTGACAGAATCTTCTATAATCAGCTTTTTTTTATGTAATAACTTTTAACTGGTTTTTGCCTGAGGGATTTAAAGGATAATGTCTCATATCACAGTCTCCTTAATTCTTTTCTCCTTTTAGTGATATTTTTCTCAGTCAAGACAAGCATGATCTAAGAAAACAATAAAAATTGAGTTAACATGGTTTATCTGGAAGTAATATGTTCACTGACAATGTCACTTAAAAACTCATGGTTATGGGAGCAAATTTAGAAAAAAACACTATGTATATTATCAACAGGGTAAATTTGGGGAACAAGTCTAACACATTGTATTTAAACATCAGATTTTTGGCTTGTTACTTTGCTAATTTTTCTGTATTTATCTAGCTAGTATATGTCTAGGGTTTCTGTGAATACAAATGTGGCAATATATAAAAAAATTTGGCACAGAAATGAGAGCTCATAAAATTGCTCTTCACTTACCAGGTGTTGCCCTGGTTCCTGCCATATTTCTCCCCAAAGGTGCTATAAGAGCCATCGTGGTGCTTGTAGTTTAACTGTCTTTGGTAACCTGGAATGGAAGGTTAGTGAAACAATATGACAGATAAATGTGTATTCACAGGCTAGAGACATTATTAAAATGCTTTGGCCTCTCTTGTGCCTTTTGCTGAATATTTCTGTCATACTTTAGAAGGTTTTGAGTGCTAAAAATTTTATTGGAGATTGGATAGTTTTTGTGAAATTAACCATCAGAGTATTCATACTATAGTAGCAATCATGGTAGGATAAACTGATGTATAATACATAGCATTGATAAGTAATTCAAGCGTACTGGGAAATCCATTGAAATAATATTGTCAGCTTTCCACTCACTCATTCAGTAACTCACCAGTGTTGAGATAGCCAATGGCTTTGGATTTGATCTCTGGAGTCAGCTGCTGTGTTTCATTTAGATAATCCAGAACATAGATGTTAGGAGCAAAGAGAACCATATTCTGTTCTCCACAACCATAAGGCATCTGGAGGAGATTCTGTGTGTTTTGCATTGCAGAGCCCAATATATCTCCTATGAAATGGGAGAGAGGGAAGTCATAAAGTTTAGAGATTACACTCTATCTGAAGTATTAAAAGGAAAACAGTAATTAGCTGTGCTTGAAAATAATTAGGATTTTTTAGGAAGGTGTATTTCATAGATAGAAGTATGATCGGAAGGAATAAACAAACCCAAAGAGGGAAAGAAGAAAAACATTAAAATTATATCTGTTAATTTAAATGAATATTTATGGAAAAGAAATATAGTAGAAGCTGTTAATATCCAAGTTCACTTAGGGACTGGAAACTCACCCAAGACTGAGACAGAGGCTCGGGCAGATTCCTCTACTACATTTGGTGGCAACTTCAGGGATAATTGTTCAGATTCCCCAGGGCCTAAGGGAAGAAACAAATCAGTCACAGGGAAACTATTTCTGCAATATATGTTTCTGAAGATGCAATATATATATATATATTATGATCCCTCAGTTAAAACTATGACTTACTCCTAAATTATTCCTGAAAAGTTGGTCTTCTTTTTTGTAGAACAGTTTTCTTTAACATCTTATACATGGCTATTGGGATTCTAAGATATTCTAAATTTCATCCCTGAATACATTTTTTCCCCTGTATGTAGAGTTTCATTTCAAAACAGATTGATAAGACCCTTGTAATGTTGTGGTTCAGTTGCGTTCATCCTATGGCTATGATAAGACCATCTATTTTTTTTTTGGCTGCCTTCACCCTCCTTAATCAATAATGCATTGTATAAGGAAAAAAATTTCCCAACAAAACCTGTATATATACATAAGCAAAGGAAAATTCCCCCAAAGCACTCAAATTCTACAATAATCTTATATTCTTTCTTCAATTTTCACCTTAATGATTTTAGTATTTTTATGAAGACCTAAAAATGGGTATGAGGAGATGAAGATGAATAGCATTTGACTTCTTGAAAATAAAATAATTACTAAAGATGGATATATGTTTCTGTTTAAATGTTGGTGGATTATGTGAAGATGAAAATGAGAGAAGTGTAGTATTTGCTTTCATATTGCATCCCTTATCATAAAGTTAATATTGAAAATTTTGTAAGTCAACAAACATCATTAGCAAACTGAAAAGAAAAATAACCAAGAGCAGGACAACATTTTGACTCATTTAAGATTAAATAATTGCTAGTGATAAACATATATCTAATGCTGTTTTTAATCTTGGTGAAGTACAAGAAGAAGAAAATTAGAGAAGTGTGGTATATATCTTCTCTTATTCATAATATTTAAGGTGTATATAAGAAATAAGATATCATAAGAAAAATTTTAAAAATAGCCACATAAATGAAAATATATGCAATATAGTCAGCTGATAAAAAATCCAGTGTCATGCAAGTAAGGCTAAAAAATTAAAATATTCAAAACACAAATGGTCAAGTGATATAAAGGCAATTTATAAACATGCAAAAATAAGCTTATGTTCACTTGTGATTAGGGAAATGTAATTTAAAACCACAACAAAATATTTTTAATACAACTTTTTTTGCAAAAAGGTGGTAATTAATGATTAAGTATACATTATGGAAATGTATACTGTTGGAAGTATAAATGTAAACTAAAGAAGGGATTTCTTTAGTTCCATTAAAACTAAGACTATAGCATATGTCCACCTTTTCCATAGAAAGTTGAACTAGCAGATATCTGGAGACAAGAACATCTTTTTGAAACCTCTGATACTTGGAAATAAGTCTGAGAAAACTGTGTGGTCCACAGAGTTGAATTAAAACCAAATTAGAAGGATAAGAAGAATTATCTCACTTTAACCACATCAACTCTCTCCTCCAGGTAGATACAATACTAGAGGAGAAGTTTTCCCTGGGTCCATGGTTTCTACAGGAGGAAAAGAATCAGAGGCAGTTATTCAGCTCCCTTGGCATTCCAAGATGCTTTCCAGGGAGCCCACTCTGGCTTCACCTCCCTGGGAATCCAGGGGATAATATTACAGCTGGACCACATGAGTCAGGCAGAAATTAAAAAAAAAAAAAAAAGAGAGAACTCATGGTGAAAAGCATATGGATCTTGGTGCCATGTATGTGTTTCTGTTCCAAAAGCTTTTTATGCGACAGCACTACCCACGCCAGACAGAGGTATTACAAGAAAAGAAAATTATAAGCCAGTATCTTTTATGAACATAGATGTAACAATCCTCAAAAATCTACTAGCAAATTGAATTCAACAACTCATTAACAGTATCATTTGCCATGATCAAGTGTGATTTATCTCTAAGTATATTTTAACAAAAACAAATCAATAAATGTTACATATCACTTTAATAAAAGGGAGAACAAACACATGATCATTTCATGGGATGAAGTAAAAGCTTTGACAAAATTCAACATCCTTTCATGAAAAAACTCTCATCAGATTAAGTACAGCAGGAATATACTTCAGCAAAATAAAGGCAATGTGCCATAATCAGCAAGGCCAGACTTGTGGTTGCAGCAAAGGGCGATGGAGGATTAGAAAATAAAAGACTCACACATGCAGAGTTTGAAATAAAGCTGGGATCAGGTGGAGTGCTGCTCTCTGATGGAGAAGCAGATCTAAAAAGTTATGCCCGCAATCTTTATATATATCTCAGTATCAGGTTAAAGACTATGCAAGCATTAATCTTTGTACTTAGGAAAGTTACAGAATTAGAAACTTTATCAGGTCTTACCTCACAGTGAAAGGGACAAAATATGCAAAAATTCTTTGGACTTCAAACATTATACAAGCTGTATTTAGTGCTATTTTAATCAAAATAGTTGACTCTTACCTGAGGGACAAAGGAGTGAGTTGAATGTTACTTCCTTCTCTAGTCCTTCAGGCTTTAGGGAAAAGAAAAAGAAGTTAGAGATAATCATAAACTGACTCTCAGGGCATGTGTACTGATAAACAACAGAATTTTGAATACTAAAGAGAAGGATTTGAACTGCATTATATTATCAAGTTAAATATAAGCATTATGAAGGAGACATGTTGATAGATGACAGCATCAGGGAAAAATACAGAAAACATGTCATGAGAGAGACAGACAGATTAGACAGACAGACAGACACACACACACACATACATGAGACAGAGACTGAGATGGGGATGATAGGTAGATAGGAATAGAGAAGAAAAATTTTAAGAAACCATCATATATTATTATTATAATTATTAATTATATCCAAATATGTGTAGTATGAATGTTATTATGGACTATATATCATCCATCTCTTCTTCCCTAACCTGATTCAGTGCTGTTTTTGTATGACTTATCAAATGGACAGGTACACTTACTTCAACCAACAGTAGCTTGATGATTGTGTCTTTCTTTCCATATTTAGGGACCATAACCACTTCACTCCCACAGAGCTCCTGAGACTCCAGTGCTTCTGCACTCACAGTGAAATTCACATTTCCTAAAAAAGCAAAAACAAAAAAGCAGTAGGGATAAGTACCATCTTTCTTTTCCTCCGTGCTTCTGATTTCAAGATTTATAAATGTTTAATGCTCTGTAGGCTTATATTTCGTAAAAACATAAGAGCAGAAATCAAGCAACATAACCTAGAGGCCTCTGATACTGAGAATATAAGGTGGAGATGGAGGTGAGGAAGTGAGGGTATTCTTCTAGGAATCCTAGAATTACAGACCTCCTACTATCTGGAAGTCTTGGCTTGAGGAAAGTAACACTGAGACACACAATCCTTGAGTAGAGAATTAGAGACTCCAGGAGTCTGTTCCTCACCTAATGACTTTGGAGTTACTTCCCAGGACACAGTGTGCCGCCCATCACCACAGATGCAATGAGACCCTTGCCCCTTTTCCACTGGGACAGCTAGGAATGTGGGGGAGGTTTCCAGCTGTATGCGGACCTGAAACCACACAACAGACAAAAAGTTTATAAGTAGGAGACCAGAAGGGTAATGGTATTGAAATAAAGGATATTGAGGGAATGGTTAGGTGTTGGGGTACTTAGGCTTAAAGATTTTATCAGTGAGCACTGAATAACTTTAGAACCTGAGTCAACTTAATCTTAGTAATGTTGGTTGATCTTAGTATTCTAGGGGAGCCTCTTCTCCCAGATGGTGGGACCAAAGGTGAGGCAAGGTAATGCTGGCTCCTTGCCTGTGTGAACTCTGCTTCTGTGATCTGGAAGCTTGGTCATTTTTCTAAGCTCTCCCAGCAGAGTTTACAAGTCTATAAATAGTTATGGTTTCAGCACAGGTAACGTGCTCACAAAGAACTTTTAAAATGAGGTTGAGCATAATGAATAAAGTTAACTATGTAGAAATATAGAAGGTGAATCTTAGAAAATCTGACATGAGCAGGAAGAGCATTGGTATTTGTTGTCTATGTCAGAAATCTGCATCCCCCCCAAGTGTTAGAAATAGAATTCAGAACTTTGTACATGGTAGCAAGTACTTGACCACTGAGCTACAAACTTCAGCCCACCTCAAAATCATTATATTGCCCAAACTATCTAACTTTAAAGGGTTATAATAAGGGTTAGAAACTTGTTTTTGCAATTCAGTACTTAGAGATAATAGCAATTATAATATATATAAGATATGAATATCTCTCTGATGGTATTCACTTTCTGTTGATCACATCTTGTATAAAAGAATTTGTCAGTATTCCTAGAAATGCAATTTTTAATTTACTTGACTGTTGCCTTATATTCAATTTGGAAAAGACATCCTTACCCGGATGCATTTGGGAAGGTAGTTCAACACAGTGGCCTTGAGAGTGAAGGCCTCTCCACGGACCACAGAGTAGGGCAATGTGAGCTCCACAAAGAAGGGCTGGAAGACTCGGAGAGAGGCGGTGGGAGAGAGACCAAGCCCAGTGTCATTGGACAGGCAGAGGGCCCCTGCCTTCCACTCAGTGATGGTGTCAGGGACAGTTCCTCCTACTTCAGCTACACCCGATGAGCTGGGAGGAAGGTAATGTGAAGAGCAGGAAATAAGTGAAATAAATTCTTCAAGGAAGAGAGGTCTTATAAAATGATTCTGTTATCATGATTTGAATGCATTTAATAGAAATACCAATAATGAAGAGCATAATTCAGACCACGCATTGAAAAATATAAGGCTTTTCTTCCAACCCTGTTGTTTTCAAGGCTTGTCTCTATCAGAACCTCCTATAGATATATCATTGTAGTATACTTTTTATGGACAATATAATTATAGATTAAATAAGTAATTGGAAAGTATCGTTAAATTTTTTTCTATAAAATGCAGGTTCAGCATGGGCAGATTTATCATTTTTTATTTCTGCTATTAGTGTGCCTATTTGGCCTGATTTTGTACTTAACCTAAGATTGCTGACCAATAAAGGATCTCATAATTGTTAATCCACTCAATGCTTGGTTATATTTAGAACCATTCCTCTTTTTCTGTAAATCCTAGAATTAAATTTTTGTAAAATTTCTTAGTTTTGATTTAATTATACTTGTGATACTTTATAACATAGTATGTTAAACCTCTCCTGAAAACAGCAATAAGCTTAAAAGTGCTTGGATTTTGAAAAGTTAGCTGAAAGTTCCTACTTCTCCCTGAAATGGGTCTATCTACATGCTTTCCCAGTTATTCCTGAGGGTTGGGTTTCTAATTGGCCTTGCTTGGGAGAGAAGGGACAGGTAAACAGTAGACTTCTGGAGGACAGAATTAGAGTCTGGGCACTTCCCATGCCTTCCACTCCTGGCTTGCTTCAGTGATAAAACTGGGTCTCCAGCTTCTTCCTGGAAGAAATTGTTCAACACATCAAGCACCCCAACTTTTATAGCTCCTATCCAAGTGTCTGGCTCCTAAATCATCTACCTCTAGATGATTCTAGGATTGGATGGTGCTTTCATTCTCAAGTACTCTGAAACCACAGAGAACAAAAAGGTGGTTTTAAATGGGGTACATGAGCACTTTCAGCAGCTGTCTCCTAGGGCTCAGTGCAAAGTGAGCAGGTAAAAACTTTTCAGCACCAGCTTTTCCCTGGAGAAGGCTTGACTACATACTTAATGCCTCAACTTTCCCAGATGCTCTCTGTGGATCAGGTCTTCAATTAGCCTGCATTTAGAAGCCGAAGGATCAGGCAATCAGTCTGTCTCTAGGAACATGAATGAGTATGTGGTTCCTTCCAATAACTCTTTTGATTGGCTGGCTCCCAAGATAAAGCTAAGTGTCCAGCTAACTTGCCTGTCTCAGGGAGCAAAAAATAAAGAACAAAGCATTAAGTTGAATATATGTGTAGTATGAATAAGAATGGAAGCATTTGTCACAGATCCTCTTCCCAGCTTTGAATAGAGTGAATGAAAGATATATTCTAACTCCCAGCTTCTCCTTGAGGATCAATGTAATTAAAGTATCTACCTAATATGCTAACTTTTTCTGCTGCGGTTCAAGAAATTAGCTTCTGTCTTGCTAATCTCAAGACATTGACAGACTTTGTTATACTTTAATCTCCTTGGGTCCATTAAGAATAAGACAATATGGATAAATACAAATGTTTAAGAGGCACCTAGAATATCTGGTTGGGCTTATTAGTGAGGTCCTTCTGCTACATGAGGCCATTTTGACAAAAGTGAGGTATGGTTGCTTTTCCTAATACAGAGAAACCAATGTAGAGGGTCAGTGAAAAGGAAGAAACAGAAAAAATTTCAAACAAAAGAAAAAGATGAATCTCTAGAAAGTGACTTTAAAGAAATAGAGGCAGATGATACACTCAACAGAGAATTTTAAAGAATAGTCATAAAGCTATTAATTGAGATTGGAAGATAAATGCATGAAAAAAGTAAGAATTCCAACAAAGAAAAATATAAAAACTACTAACTAGAAATCTGAGATCTGAAGAATACAATAATTGAACTTAAAAATTAATTAGAGAGCTTCAACATCAGACTGTATCAAATAAAAAAAAGAACTTCATGCAAACTTGAAGTCAGGTCTTGTGAAATCATTTGATCTGAGGAGCAAAAAGAAAGAATGAAAAGATAGTTTAAGGGACCTGTGGGACACCATCAAGAAGAATAATGTATACATTACTGGAATCTCAAGAGAAGAAATGAGAAAGTGATAGAAAGTTCAACAAATATATGAAAAAATGCTTATCATCTCTAGAAATCAGAGAAACGCAAATCAAAACTATTCTAAGATATCATCTCACTCCAGTCAGAATGGCAGCTATTATGAATACAAAAAGCAATAAGTGTTGGTGAGGATGTCGGGGAAAAGGTATACGCTGCTGGTGGGACTGCAAATTGGTACAGCAAATATGGAAAGCAGTATGGAGATTCTTTGGAAATATGGGAATGGAACCACCATTTGACCCAGCTATCCTTCTCCTTGGACTATACCAAAAGGACTTAAAAACAGCATACTACAGGGACATAGCCACATCAATATTTATAGCAGCACAATTAATAATAGCTACATTGTGGAACCAACCTAGATGCCCTTCAGTAGATGAATGGATAAAAAAAGGGTGACATATATACACAATGGAATTTTACTCAGTATTAAAAGGGAATAAAATCATGGCATTTGAATGGATGGTGTTGGAGAAGATAATGCTAAGTGAAGTTAGACAATCCCAAAAAACAAATGCCGAATGTTTTCTCTGATATAAGGAGGCTGACTCATAGTGGGGTGTGTGGGTGGGGGGTGCATGGGAGGATTAGATGAATTCTAGATAGGGAAGGGGGTAGGAGGGAAAGGGAGGGGGGCAGGGGATTGGCGAGGATGGTGGAATGTGATCGACATCATTATCCAAAGTACATATATGAAGACTCGAATTGGGTGTCAACATACTTTATATATAAACAGAGATATGAAAAATTATGGTATATATGTGTAATAAGAATTGCAATGCAAAACAAGAGAAAAAAACAAAGTACATGTATAAAGGCATGAATTGGCATGAACATATTCTATATACAAAGATATGAAAAACTGTACTCTATATGTGTAATGAGAACTGTAATGCATTCTGCTGTTGTGTATTTAAAAATAAAATCAATTTTAAAAAAAGAAGTAAATAGAAAACTGGATATAAGAGATCTGGAGAACACCAAATAAAATGAATCCAGAGATCCACACTGATACACATTATAAAATTTGGATAAAATTTGACAAAATTTGGATAAAAATATTTTTGAAAGGAACAAGAAAATTTCATTTGTTACATAGAAGGGACTTTCTATAAGACTATTAGGATTTCTAGCAGAAACTTGGATGTCCAGAAATAAGTGCAGTCTTTTAATAAATCTTTGCATGTATATTGCTTTTGACATGTCCTGAAATTGTTTTTAGTGCTGTAAGTCAAGAACCTACCCTGATTGAGTGGAGGTTCCACTGCCCACTTGGAGAGACCTATCCAGGGACACTTCTAACCAAGGAATATATAGGTTCACTATAATCTTTATCAAAATTACAATTGCATTTTTTCATAGAAGTAGAAAAGTAATTCTAAGATTTCTATGCAACTGCAAAAGATCCTGAACAGCAAAAAGCAATTCTAAAGTAGAAAAAGTGAGACACACACACACACAAATATTAAATAAAAAAGAAAGTAATTTGTGGATTACTGGATAATTTGTGGATTAATTCTGGATATGTTTGGTGAAATAAGCCAGGCATAAAATGATCTCACTCATGTGAAATATTTTTGATTTTATAGGAAAAAAGAGTAAAATAATGGTTACTAGAGATTAGAAACGGTAGTGGGTAGAGATGACTGGTGCGCATTTTCTAACCTCTACCTAAGTAGTTAGTTCTAGTATTCTATAGCATAATAATTTATAATTGCAGTCTACAACAGTACATGATGGGTTTCAAAAAAAATTAGAAGAGTCCAAAATTTGCCAACACATAGAAAGGATGAATTCATCTCAGGAGGTGTAAATACTATCATGGTTTGATCATCACACATTGTATACATATATCAAATCATTGTACTATATTTCATAAATATGTAAACATATTGTGTATTAAAAAAAGAAAAAGTTGGAGGAATCACACTTCCTGATTTCAAGCTATATTACAAGGTCATAATAATAATAGTATGATTCTGGCATGAAATAAGATGTATAGAATAATGAAACACAATAGCACAGAAATAAACTCAAGCATATATGATTAACTAATTTTCAATAGGCCCCTAAGAAGAAACAATGGAAAAGGAAAGTCTCTTTAACAAATGATACTGGAAAAACTGGAGAGAGTGTGCATGCAGAAGAGTGCAATTGGGTCTTTATCTGACCGTACACAAAAATCATGTCAAAATTGATTAAAGATCTGAAAGTAAGATCTGAAACTATAAAATTCATGTAAAAACATAGAGAAAATCTTGGCATTGGTCTGGGCAGTGATTTTTTGAATATGACACCAAGAGCACAGTCAACAGAAGCAAAATTAGACAAATGGGATTATGTAAACTAGAAAGCCTTTCACAGCAAAGGAAAGAGTTAACAAAGTGAAAAATCAGCCCATGGATTAAGAAAATAAGTGTGAACCATATATATGATAAGGGATTAATATTGAAAATGTATAAAGAACTCACACAGCTCAAAAGCAAAACTCCAATGATCAGAAAGTTGGCAAGTTATTAGATAGACTTTTTTTTTTTTTCAAAGAAGACAGAATAGCTTAGAGACCTAAGAAAAAGTTCTTAACATTACTAAACACCAGGGGAAAACATATCAAAACCACAAGAAATTATCACCTCACATCTATTATCACCTCACACCTGTTAGGATGACTTATCAAAAAGATAAGAGATTAAAAAGTTGGGGAGGACGTAAAGGAAGGGAATCTTTGTGTACTATTAGAGGAACTGTAAGTTAGTACAGTCATTATGCAAAGCAGTATGGAGTTTACACACACACAACACCCCAACTATATGATCTTGAAATTCCTCTTCTAGGTATCTACTCAAAGGAATTGAAATCATCACCTCATAGAGATACATGTGCCCCTATGTTTATTACAGTGTTATTAATAATAGCTGAGATTTGAAAACAACCAGAATGTCTGTTGATGAATGAATGGATAAAGAAATTGTGGTACATATATAAAATGAAGTATTTTTCAGCCTTAAGAAAAGGGTCATACTGCCTGCCACTTGTGACAATCTGGATGAATCTTGAGGTCATGATGCTAAATGAAGTAAGACACAACAACACCTGTACGGAGAATTTAAAAGAGTTGAATACATAGAAACAGACTATAGAATGGTGAATAATGCAGGGGTGGGTAAGGAGAGACAAGTGAATGGGTACAACATCACAGTTATGTAGGAGGATTAAATTTAGAGATCTAATTGGCAGCATGAAGACTATGGTTAAAGACAATATATTATATACTGGAAATTTGCCAAGAGAATAGGTTTTAGATTCTCTTACCCCCACCCCTAAGCCAACAACAAGAAATGATGTGTTAACTTACTTGACTGTCATAATAATTTCACTATACATATATCAAAACATCATGTTGTACACTTAAAATATTTACAATAAAAAGAGGAATTAGCCCAGAAGTAAAAATTGTAAGGAATCTATATTGTTGCATTTACAGATAAAGGAAGTTACTTACTCTACCACCACCAAGTCCCAGATCCAGGTCTCAGGGAAGTACTTTCTTACAGTCTCTTTGTGAGATACTGGCGCATCTATCTCCTGAATTTGGCTACTGTAAAGTGCAACTGAATCTATGGTGGTGAGAGAAAAGACAATAAATGTAAAGATAAAGCTTCTGAGAGATTGTAATAAGTGCTACTGAATAAATAGGGTCATAAAATAAAGCGGAACCGGGAGGAGACACTTACATAGTTAGGGGAAATTTGTTTGAGGTGATATTTTAGTCAAATATGAAGTATTAGAATAAATTGAGCTAGAGGAAGAGAATCACAGAGAACACAGTGACCTGGATAGAAAGCCTTGAATTGTTCTGGAGCAGAAAGACTCTGCGGAGTCCTATGAGACTACTACCCATTGTGCTAAGTGGAGACAGGAGGTGGCCAGGAGGCCAAACTGCCATTGGTGTGTTCCTCTGTGGAGCAAAGAAAAATTGTAGTACATATAGAGTTTTGAGAAACAGTTGATAAGGATGAAAGCGTCAGGATAAAAAGGCTTTTTATTTCATTGTATGTAAGCAGGCCAGAGTTAGGTACAAGTAAATATTCAGTAGCCAGGTTTTTTTTTTTT